ACTCTCCAAGGTGCAGATACACAGTTCACCCACGATCCCTAGTGCAGGACACATACCATGCTGTCATTATAAACTTTGCAAACTATGTCTATCATTTGAAACAATATCTTGAGTTTGTATTTTAATGGAGGCACAAGTGACGCCATCCCTTTGTGAATGCTTCTCTACATATCAATTGTCAACTATGAATAACATTGTCTTGTTTGTAAATACTATTGTATTGTATGTTTGATTGACTGCATGTATCAATAATCTTCGGATTGATTTCTGGAGGAAATAAAGAATCTCTCTCTCTCTCTCTCTCTAATAGCAAAAACTCTGTAGAGTTTGTTAGCTAATACATGTTATAATGTAACCATAAAGCTTAAAATATGATGAAACTTAAGCCAAATATATAATAGCAAAAACCTCTTTTAGAGTTTTGATAGCTAATATACCTATATGATATAAACATAGTACTGCGCTTAAGATATGAATAAGCTTAAGTTACATATATAATAGCAAAAACTCTGTAGAGTTTGTTAGCTAATACATGTTATAATGTAACCATAAAGCTTAAAATATGATGAAACTTAAGCCAAATATATAATAGCAAAAACCTCTTTTAGAGTTTTGATAGCTTATATACCTATATGATATAACATAGTACTGCACTTAAGATATGAATAAGCTTAAGTTACATATATAATAGCAAAAACTCTGTAGAGTTTGTTAGCTAATACATGTTATAATATAACCATATTGCTTAGAATATGATGACACTTAAGCCAAATAGTAAAAAACTCTTTAGAGTTTGTTAGCTAATATACTTATATGATATAAACGTATTACTAAGCTTAAGATATGAATAAGTTTAAGCTACCTATATAATAGCAAAACTCCGTAGAGTTTGATAGCTAATATATTTTATAATATGAGTATAGTACTATGCTTAAGATATAAATAACTTAAGCTACATTATATAATAGCCAAAAACTCTGTAGAGTTTGTTAGCTAATGCATTATCATGTTACCATAGTACTACTCTTAAGATATGATTAACTTAAGGTAAATATATAATAACAAACTCTGTAGAGTTGTTAACTTATATATTGTATGATGTAATAATCATAGTACTGTGATGATAAAAGGAACTTAAGCAAATTATATATAGCATGTAGCTATTTAGTACTGTTATAAGACAAGTAGAAATCTGTAAGATTGACTTATCTTCTCGAACTGTCAATTGTTGTGCGAGGACCATGGGATCAATTGGTGGATACCTGAGGCGTCCTCGGTGGTGATATCTCTCAGATAATGGTTGGCAACCACCATATCGGATCTCCAGAAATAAACCCTCCATTATTCCAAAAAACATTTGTGTAAATCAATTGTAGAAGTTAACGTTCCAATATCATGAGTATTAAGCTCATGGAGGGTCGGATTGGGTCCATCCATCTTGTATGCACATAGTATGACAGTTCTGATCCAACGGAGATATAGTACGTGAGACTTCATTCTGCCTAAGTTGAAGATAGAGGAAATAATCTGTTGCATTTTCCCTTCCTGTTTGGTTCGGTGGAGATAAATTTACAGTGCTCTTGCTGGCCATCGTGATAGAATCATCGTATCATGGAGCCCAAGTATGTTATCCAGGCGTGTTCATAAACCTCACTTGTGAGGTGTTGGAGTACTATATTCAGATCCCCAAGTTGGAGCGTGAAATTTCCGTTTTAATTCTCCAATCAGAAGCTTAAGTAGGTTTACTAACCATCCAGTTGTGTTAGTAGCTTGATGATTAAATTCAACTGTAGTCTGAGACGCTGTGGGTTTAGATCAACTTGTATCCCGTCGTCTAGGTAATTAAGCTCGCGAGGTTCTTGGCGATGTAGGTGCACAACCAGGTGTGTCTGTCCTCGTTGAACTTTATGTAAATTTGCCTGACTGCCGTGCTCTCGTCCCTAACTTGACAGGGAGGCCTCTAACCTGAAGAAAGCAGCCCAATCATGAAGGTTCAGGTTAACTGGACTGTAAGGAGGCTTGCTCGTTCACTGATATATAGTTGTCACTTGTGACGTAAGTCTTGAACTGTGAATTAAGATGGAGCCTCTGCGTGGAGTCGATTGTCCATCAGCGGTCCAATCAGAACAAGGCATTTTGATTCTGTAGAATACCCGCTGTGATGTCACCGGTGTAGCAGGAAAAAACCTTGTATAAAATCTTGCCGTCGTTGATATTAGCATAATCGTCGGTCTTCACCGTAGCTTCCCGAAGTTACCCGAGTGACCACGTGTTTCGAGGGTTAATGGTAAACGCTGAAACCTTCGGTGCGAAATACCTCGCTCTGTAATATTAATGCTGGGTAGGTTATTTTCCTGGCTGTCGGTAAGTAACTTCAGTTTGAATCTAATTCCGACTTCCCTTATATAAAGGTACAATAACCTTGCAAGTTGTCAGCTTGTAGACTGTATACATGAATGTATCGTCATAATTGTAGAATTAAAGCTGAACTTGTTGTACATATTTCTTCTCAGAAAAGTTGACGATTATGAGTTATACTCGCTGTAACAAGGCTGCTGTTCAATTTCAATATTGAATTGTCTGCAGATATGCGTAATGGTCACGCATGTAGATAATCGTATCGTCGTCCGGGATTGCATATTCTAGCCATCTATACGGAACAGTTGATTTCTGTGAAGATCTATGAAACGTCGTTGACTAATTAATACAGCGACGTTCTGTGTTGTAAATAGCCTGTGCAATTGTCTTCGCGTAGGCTTATAGATGGCATCTGGCATACAGTTGATAGACAACTTATGCGATGTCTTGAACGGACTGACGAGTAGCTATATATGACGAGTGGCTAGTATATGGAGACCTTGGAGGAGACTTCCTCGGTGAACTCTGGAGACTTCGCGAAGCTCTCGAAGTATCCCTTCTGGGTGAAGTAGACTTGGAGCCACTTAGCCTTCGCGACCTTCGCGAAGGTATCGAGTCAAACCCCGATTAGTATATATATATATATATGAACGCTTGCTTCGCGAACGGCCTCTGTGTTTAACAGGATGCGGGGTCGGCGAAGCGCTACTCCTCCGCGATGTCCCTTGTAGCTGGTGAGGCTCTAGCTCCTTCGCGGAGGCGGCCTGGGACTTGCTGGTTCTGCATAAGTAGGGCCGAGTGGATCATCTTATCATCTTCAGAAGTCGTGTTACGAAGTCTGGTGATAAGTGTCTCATTGATCGTTCTAGATCTATTTAGGCCAAGAACATACGTCTCGTCATGGATTCAACTGAACCAATTTACGATTGTAGTTCTTATTCTTGATATTGATGATCAACTTGTCTATGGGTTGATTTTCTCGGAGACTTGTGAGGAGAACGTTGATAGCTTCGCGAAGCTCTTGTGTAGTCCCTCGATGTCCTTCTAGATGATGATGATCTGGATTCAGGTGTCCTTCCTTCGCGTCCGCTGCGTCGGTCCGGGGGAACGACGATATGACCTTCGCGAAGGCTTCCGTGATGTCTGATGGTCCGAGTCCACATCTAGGGATGAAACCGAAGAAGGTGATGATCTATCCCGCCTTCGCGAAGGCCTTCGCGAAGGCTGTACATCTAGGTCCTTCGTCAAGGTGGTCCGTGACTTCCTTCGCGAAGGTGACATCGTCCTGGTTGCTACGTTGACGGGGGGTGCCTCTGGGGTGCTGTCTACGTTGGAGCCTTCGCGAAGGCTCGGTCCCTGCTTCTGCAGTCTGTAGCGATCCTCCATCATGGTCATAATTTGCCGCATCAGGTCCTCAGGGATGGACTGCGACGAGGTCGTCGGTGCCTTATCTGCGGTGTTAATGGAGGGGTCCACAGGAATATCGTCCGACATCAGTGTAGAGGCATCAGGCTGCATGGTGATCTCTGCTGATGTCATTGTAGCTGTCACCGGTCGCTTCTTGTGGCGTATTATATGTCGGGATGATGATCGGCTGATCATCGTAGACGTCCAGGTCTGCGGCTGGAACAATCTCGGTTGAGAAAGTCCTAGTAGACTTCGTTGATTTCCCCTCAGATGTCAACGCTGCCCTCGGTGTGCGACGTCTGCGTTGAGTGTTGGTAGCGATGGGACCCTCAGGAAGATCATCGAATATCAGCGTTGGTACATCAGGCTGCATGCTGATCTGCGCTGACATCACTGTTGCCGACATCGGTCATTCTTTTGATGTACATCAGGTATGATGATCGGCTGATCATCATACAGGCCCAAATCCGGCTGTAGAGATGTAGTAGAAAACCTCTAGTCTACGGCTGCGACGATGGGATGTCTGGGGAAGCAGGACGCTTCTTGGAGATGGCGGACTACGTCCCACGCCTCTCCACCACTCTAGCGGAACACCACACGGGAGAATTGACCAACAACAGTAGACTGGCGAGGGGTTCAGGTGTATCAGTCATACTAGACTCTGCATCGCGCGACCTATCTGCTGCAGCGTCTCAAAGCGCAAAGTAAATATTAATAAAAGGTAGAATTGGATAAATTAGTACCGCAACTGCAATGTGAATAAAATGAACATGAAGCAGCAGTACAACTAAGGCATATTAAAAGCGGATCAGCAGCAGAATAAAACCGTAATCTGCAATGAGTACAAAATTTTCATCAACGTAATCCACTGAAACAAACCGCGTCCGTGAATAAACTGTAGAAAAGCGACTAAATATCAATATATAATCGTTGAAGGATACTAGCTAAACCTCTATAGATGTCTATCTGACGAGGGTAACTAACTAAATATAAATCAAAGGATATAGTGTCGGGAGACACAAGCTCTCTCGTCCAGCTCACTGGGAAGGAGAAAGAGTGAGGCACATGGGTGAAGGTGAAGCCCTCGTTTCCAGCGCTTGTGGAAAGGGGTAACTTCGTGGTGAGTACTAATTAGTGATTTTACATTGAAGGGCTTCAATTAGGGAGATACAAGTGTTTCCACTAAGTTCGCAAGAAGAAGAAGACAAACAAAAGAGCATGAGTCAGGATAAGGAAAAAGTCTTAATCTTGGCACATATGATAGTACACAGGAACTCAATCTCCTCCTTCTCAGTCGGGGTGCTGCTCTTTTCACCTCCCCACAGGTCTTCACCAATTAGCTGGAAACAGGAGTCGCTAGGTAGGATCACAAATAACAGACATCTTACTCAAACAGTGAACTTTTCAATCTGCTTCTAAATTCTGAGTGAGTGAAACAGTCAGAGCACCATGTCATTTCTTATTCTGGTAAAAGAACCAAATCTGACAGTTCCAAATGTAAACAAAAAGGGCTAGCAATACATTGTTGCTGATCTTTCTGAGTGCCAAGGCACCTAAACCGAACAAGTACCATCAAAAGAGTATTAGTGTTCTTTGTGGGTTTTTCAATTCAGATTTCCAAATCAAGGTTGCAAAGAAATGAAACCAAGCTGATCTTGAAAACTGAAATCTGATTGCCTCAAGAACCCACACAAGTAAAAACTGCCTTCCCAGGTTTCATGTTTTTGGTGTAACAGTACTCTCAGTAACTTTCAGAGCTATTAATAATTCCCATTGAGTCTGTATGTTCTTTTGAGCATGTTGAGTATTTAGTATTTCTCACTTACATGGCACGAAACATTGGATAATCTAAAAGCAGTGAGAAAATATTAAAAAGTATTTTTTCATTTCTATTAATAGCATTTCTGGGAACTTAATTTGCATCTGTTGAAGGTCAAGTTAATATTAGCACATAAACTGCAGATTATCATACTTTCAGAGCATGTTTAATTACAAATACTTGACCAAAAATCAAATTTACACAACAGATATAACATAAATCAGGTAATAAAAAATACAGTGCATATGTTAAATCAATGATGATCACAATACACAGCCCACACACTTCCCCCTCATTTTTAATCACGCCACAGGCTTTTTCTGCCACCTAATCTGTTTAAATACTGAGCCCACAACTTATGCCAATACACAGAAAATGTTGTCAACTCAGGGGATTAATCCTGATGATATGTGTTGCAATCATAGTTTATTAGCTGTATAACATGTTTCATGCCACTCTCAGCAATATTCCAGCTATCAATAGAACCCTAGGAAATGAAGCACTGCCTGAACTTGAACATAGCTGAATCAGGAGAACATGACAAAAAGAAAGGCTACAGCATATGTCGATGTACCTGAACAGCCCTGTGTACGTTGATGTGTGGCAGAAGAGGATGCTTGATGCGCGACAGAATCTTGGTGAAGAAACTCAGGATGATTTGCTTCATACCTGGCGGGTGCTGAAATAGGTGACAAAAACATAATGGGATGAGAGATAGCAAATATTCCAGTAAACACTGACATTCATTCATTCAGAGCACACAAGTGGTCAAATTCTGACTTACGTCAAACAGCCCTATTGGGTCCAATCCACAAAATGTTGGTTGCACTATGCCCTTCGTAAGCCAATGAAAATGTGTAGAGAAACGACAGGTCGTAACTTTATGAATGTTTTGTGGATTGGGACCCTGGGCCCCGTTCCTCAAAGTGATCGTAGCGCTACGACAGTCATAAGTCTATGTTAAAGTATGGGAGTTACGATCACCTTAGCGCTACGATCGCTTTGAGGAACGGGGCCCTGGTCTTACCGCCATGTCAGAATGTTGATATCTGCTTCTGTACTCACATCCGTTCTGCCGAGTGTATAAAGAGTCTCCATCAGCTTGTGCTGCAGGACATACTCCAGACAGGGACCCGTGGTTCCACTCTCCAGAGACATCACCTCCTCCTCTTGCAGGATCCTCATCATCTGGTCCAGATGACCCGGTATCTGGGTCTGCTCAACATGCCCTCGCTCACCTGCAAACATTCCACACTTAGTTCAACACTGACATCTCACCATCCAATCATGACCTTGGAAAATGTAGAGAAAACCTGATTCTGATGCAATGCAACAAAATGGCAGCTAAAAAATATTTTCAAATTCAGATTGGTTAAAGAATCATTTTGCATAAGTCGTGTTAAAATGTTGGAAATAACTCAAGGTGTGTCGCAGAAAGACAAAGTGTGAAATTTGAATAGATAATGCCTGTTCTCAGGACATATTTCTAGGCAGGGTATAACACAGATAATTATTCAAGGCAAAGATGCAGACTGTACTGACCTTTGTTGTCTATGAAGTAGTTGGTGATGGCCTTCCAGTGATGGATGAACTCCTCTTGCAGGGACAAGTTTGGTGCAAACTGCCAACAACAACATCAACTTCACTACATGTATTATCCATCACATCATGTTTAACTCTATCCAAGCACACCATATCAGAATGTATTAGAAATCTGTTACAAAATATACATGCAGCACATCTCTAAATCATAAAGTTTGTAAAGGATTTCAAACCACGTTCCATTTAACCTCAAACAAAGGTACTGAAGCCAGGGTTTTACACAGACTTTTAAAAAATGGGAGTCATTGTGACTCACAATATTTATTTTTGGGAGTCATTTTCAATATTTGGGAGTCATGAAAATTTTAATATTTCTTTGTTACTGAAGATCAATTCTAACCCAGATCTTCATTAGTTGCCACTAAGAGACTATCTGTTTAACCTTTTAATATCAATTACCACGCTTACCAGATGTGTCCATATTGAATGTGGTCACTAAATGCCCTGTGATAAAAACAACTAAATACAACAAGCAAGACAGAAGTTTGTATAAATTTCCAAACTGAATAAAGTTGAAACTGTAAAAAGCAATGGAAATAAGTTTGATACATCACCACTATTATAATCTTTGTATGATAGGCTTCGGACAACAATCATGACAATAGGACAGACAATGATATTGTCTATAAAGTGGGCAAACATTCTGTGTAGGAGCATGGTGGAAATGACTTTTAATGATGAATCTCATCCTTGTCAATTGTACAACTTATCTAGATGATAAACATCATGCATGATAGAAGAATAAGCAACCTGCATGGTGCTCTGTTTATTTCTTGTTTGGCTAAAATCAGTTTAGAAGTGCAAGAATTACACAGAAGGGACAAGGAGTAAATTATAGGAGGACATTATTCACAATATGTGTCAAAGCTTCACTCAACATCAAGCAGGTCATGGTGCTACCCTTAAGATATGATATATAATGCTTAACTAATCTATAAAAACTTGACTCGGTCCCAAAGGGCAGAGTGGATTCCTTTATACCTACTGGGAGTGTGTACAGTATGGTAACCACATATAATTGTAAACAGACTTAAAATTAATGTTAGTATACTGTCCAATAAATGCACAATGAGCCGATGGTCCCTATATGTCAGTAAACCATCATCTGTACCTATATCCCAGGAGCATGACCAGTGAACTACAGCTTGAATACAATGTACAGCACAATGACCCCTATATCACTAGAGAAGGACTTCCTCTTATTCCTGTGGGTAGATAAGGTGCATATGCTGTATACCTAATATAGATAAGTAGGACAGAGCTATTTGGATACTGCTAGCCAAATAATTATATTAACATTAGATCTGAAGTGCTTGTTAGAACTGTAAATCAAAACAGTTTGGTCATCATTGTCGATAATACTTTACTTGAAAATAATGGTAATGACAGACACATAACTAAATTTCCCGCGTTATGCTCATCTGTCAAAATTTCATTTGATCTCATCGAGTAATTTTGGCATTATATATTTTTTAGCTAAATTCAAAATTCATGGATTAATAAAAGTCAGTTTGGCATAACGCTTGTAATTCAACTTCAGTAGCGCAGTTTGTGTGATTGATTGAGGAATATCCATCCCTGTCCAGCAATATTCACGTAATTTCATTTTCATATTTGGGGGGAAAATTCTGAACAGCTGACGAACGCGTACCGAGTCCACTGCATGTTGTATTAAAGTCGTAAATTTGGTGAACATTTTCTTCTGCATTTGGATCTGTCGTGTCTGGAAACCCTCGGAAATTAAGACAATGCTTCTACACACTTGACATCCTAAGTGAACGGTAAAACCAAAACATTGAAACTGGGTGTAGAAGATCACTTCCTGTTTTTACCGGAACCACGTGTGAAATGATATTGCCCACAAGACTTATTACACGTATAAAACTGCTCAGCTGCATGGTGATTCTGTCGGTCTTCCTTACAACAAAATGTTGTGCCTTGCGACTGGTTACATAATATTCTATTTTGCTTGCGGTACCTTACACGAACAACGGTTGTCCACATCACCAAATCACTCAGTACGTGAGCATGCTGTTCATGTATGTCGTCAGAAGGCAAACGCAGACAGAGTGCAGTTGAAGGACTTTGTCAGCTAGCTTGTTTTCGTTTGTTGACAGTTATGACATTAACGGCCCAGATGAGTATTCAAGTATGAAGATCACCGTCAGTATGGGGTTTTAGAGAAAATGATCACAGGCAGTTTCACTGTCATTAGTTTCATGTTTGACAAACAGAAACATATGACATATAGTGAATGTTTTAAAGTGCATGTGCACACTTGTGTAGCCACGCAGAAAAGGAAATATATATGTCTCTTTGTTTATTTATTTGTTTGTTTAACGCGGTGCATGATGGCGTCGTGTAAATAATCGAGCCTGGACCAAACAGTCCAGTGATTGGTGTTGTGGACAACGAACCACAAGGTTAAGTTGATCTACTTTATTATGATTCTTATATATAATGATGATATATGAATTAAACATTGTTAGTTATAAAATACTACCACATGCAAAAAAAATCTGAAAGCTAACATACCAGAAGACAAGCACAAACCATAATAAATAAGTGAGTGAGTTTAGTTTTACGCCGCTTTTAGCAATAGGATTCCAGCAATATCACGATGGGGGACACCAGAAATGGGCTTCACACATTGTACCCATGTGGGGAATTGAACCCCAGCCTTCGGCGTGACGAGCAAAGGCTATCACCACCTAGGCTACCCCACCGCCCCCATAATTACTACATGCGAGTATATATATGAGGGGCGGTGGGGTAGCCTAGCGGTTAAAGCGTTGGTTCGTCACGCCGAAGACCCGGGTTCGAATCCCCACATGGGTACAATGTGTGAAGCCCATTTCTGGTGTCCCCCGCCGTGATGTTGCTGCAATTTTGCTAAAAGCGGCGTAAAACCAAAACTAAGTCAGTCAGTCAGTATATATATGCTGCTGGTATTAATGGCATAAACTTCCCACAAACCACCGAACTGTACACATTTGATATTTGTGTCAGTCTAACGGTAGATTAGATAGCCATTGTATTAAATTGGACTGAGCCCTTAACTCGAGGTTTCAAATATATAAATGATTTGAGAGATATCTACGTAAGGGTCAGTCTAACTGAAATTTCAGAACACAGTAGCTGTATCTGTTAAGTGTACCATGACACAGAAGGAGTCACAGAAGGTTCTTTTCGAGTTAGAACATTTACACGGAGATGGAAATGCTTTTATTTTCACTGTAACCCCTATGTACAGTGTTGAATAACATTTCTTTTCCATGGTGTAAAGAGGCACAAATTTGAGTGTGGATCAGGCAATCCCGTGATTGACATCATGAGCATCAATCTACGCATACGATGACATGCATCAACCAAGTCAGCGAGCCTGGCCACCCGATCCCATTAATCGCCTCCTACGACAAGCATGAAGACTAATTCTAACCCGGATGTACGCGGGTAGGAGGACACTGAATAGTCCGGGTGGTCAAACTGGGTGACTCCGTTGACTCATTATCAGTGACTGGTTCATAGTCCTGGCTCCACCATTTGCAGGACGCCGTCAAATATAATGTGTTCCAGCTGTATGAGGGGGCTACGTCATCGGGAACACAAGTAGTTGATATCATTCACGTTTTACGCGTAAAACTCCGGGTTAGAATTGGTCTTCAGCAACTCATGCTTGTCGCAAGAAGCCGCCAACTTGGTTAACACATGTCATCGTATCCCAATTGCGTAGATCGATGTCCATTCCGTTGATCACTGGATTGTCTGGTCCAGACTGGATTACCGGCATTTACAGCTTGAATATTGCTGAGTGCGGACTTAATCAACTAACAAACAATGACTTTGTTTGTGCATTGAAATTAGATTTCAAGAGCAATGTGTGTGGATTGAAATTATTTTTCTAAAAGCACTGACGGAGAATCAGAGACATCATGCTTAACAATACTGAGTTGATCCAGTCCTCCAGACACTTGATACTTTCACTGCTAATCATATCAAACACCGACATAACACACACCATCTACATTCACACATACATTCAACGTAAGCCAGCACACCCACTCTGGAGATATGAAAGCCATAAACCTAATGGTGGGCACACATGAAAGAAGATATTGTTTATCCACGGGTGGAGAACGTGAACATTGTAGTCATGTTGTTGTTGTCAATGTTGTGTCAATATTGACCGAGTGCACGGCGAGCTACAAGACACAGGTATGTATATGCCTTAGAGTATCACTATTTACCCAACACTACTCAACGTATATCATATTAGAAAATAGGTGTCCTGTGTCATGTTATTGTGTCTATCTATGGTATGCAAACACACATAAACTTCAAGTGGTTTTAATCTTATATACACCATTTCAGTAGTGTTATGTCTGCTGATAAACAGCTTGGTCTCTTAAACAGTGTAACAGTCAGAAACACTAAATTTCACTACCCGTGAAGAACAGGGTTAGAAACCCATACTTGTATTCCTGTGATATTATTATATCCTGTGGGGAATCAAACCTATTTCATCAACGTGTCGAGCCACGTTTCAACCATCAGGCTACCCTACCTCTTCCTGAAAGTTCTAAACAGACATGGGCAGTTACTGTGAAAAGTGCGTTTCTGTGTTTGTAAACCCATACTAGTATTAAAATATACTATATTGTAATAACTTGTTAAACGGCAAACGGGGTCGGGTGGTCAGGCTCGCTGACATGGTTGACACATGTCATCGTATCCCAATTGTGTAGACCGATGCTCGTGATGTTGATCACTGGAATATCTGGCCCAGACTCGTTTTTTTTACCGACCGCCGCCGTAAAACTGGAACATTTTTGAGTGTTGCATTAAACAACAAATACAGAAACGCACTTTTCACAGTAACTGCCCATGTCTGTTTAGAACTTTCAGGAAGTGGTATGGTAACTTGATGGTTGAAACGTGGCTAGACACGTTTTGATGAACTAGGTTTGATTCCCCACAGGATATAATAATATCACAGGAATATTGCTAAAAGTGGCGCAAAACAATATTCTCTTACTGAAATTTCATTGACAACATAAAATACAATAGCTGTAATAGCAATAGAAATTTTGATTAAACATTAAACCAACAGCTTACGTGGTCACACTCTCAACATAGGCCTTAGTGAAAACGTAATGCTTATGTCATGGGGATGCTTACCTTCTGTCTAAACGTAAGCATCACTACTTTAATTGTGTGATAAAACGGCTTAGTATTAACGGCATGTCAAATGACACCACATAGAAGGCCATAGACTGGGTTCGAATCCCAGAATTACTACATACACAGACAAAAACATCGACCTGTCTCTTGAGAATGCACTTTTACCTGAGCCTGTGTGTAGAAGCCCATGACATGACATTTTAAACTTTCACCCTACATTAAGATCGTAAATTATGTTCATGAAATACTGCCCAAAGATACAACTCTCGAAGAACAAAGTTCAACACAACTGTGCTTGACTGCATTTGGCATTATCTGCCTTGATGATTGATATCACCATTTAGAAAGAAGGCTTTCTTTAAACCATAAACCAACATCATGATATCCCTCCGTCAAGGTTAACCCTAAAGAAACTGTGTAGAGTCGCTTTGTATGGCGTTATTGAAACATTTACGTCATTCAGGTAACTGAATCAAGTCAAAGAAGCATGTAATGAATAACCCAACAAGCAGTTGGTCCTGAATGCTCCCTGTTTATTGTACGACACGCATAATGGTGATATTATGCTCCGGAAATCCGAGCAGGGTCTACCCTTGACGTTAGAGGGAATGCACATTTTACATATAAAAAACATTCAACTGACTTGAGGACTCAGGTTACAACTCCACAGGAACCCCACAATTAAAATGGGTCGCAGGTACGATGATATTGTATGACTCCTCATTTGAAATGTGCATGTCATAGAACAGTGATAAATAATCCCTCTTCTCTGACAACCCCTTCCCTCCTACTCCCAACATGATAGGGTATTCTCTTCAGAAACATACAATCTGATATCATTAATATCATTGTATAGATTTTCAGTTGCCGAATGTCCTATATCTAACCGAAAGATGGTAAGGCAAAACGAATGGCAGGTATATAGCTTCTCTCATAATGTCCATTATGAAGGTTTTGTAGCTCACAAACATCTTCACAACTTCACAACACGTGAAACTACTGTTGGCCATGATAGCCAAACGTACCGGTATGATTTATGTCATATCTACCACTAGACTGCACTTAAGTTCACAACCATAAATCAGGCATGTACTGGGGACTTCATCTCTTTGACATATGAATACTGACATAGTAAACATGGTTTGGCCTCAATTTAGGATCAGGTAAACATGAGCACAGAAGAGCTGCTAGCAAGCGTCCCAGTCTCCAGTCAAAGCAGCGGTGACACTAAGACAAGACTATACAGAGGAATGCATACGTGTGTGTAGCTGTTCCAGTGGTCACTATGGAATCGGACTTGGGTAAGTAAGTGCTAAATGGCTAAAGTCATACCTATGATCCACTTTAACATTTTAAAATGTTAATGCAAATGCATATGGTTTGTTTTATACATTATAAATATTCGCAATGCTTTTATACGGTTTAGATTAGGCCTTAATGATTTATTAATTAACCGTGGGAGATATGTTTCTATGGAAAAAACCCAAAGATTATGTCCATTCTGTTTCATTATTGAAGACGAATTCCATTTTATGTTTATTTGTCCTGTATATGAAAATCTAAGAAATAAGTATCTACCGCAACTGTCTTTATCGCAAATCAACTTTAATCTATTGTCTTCCTTACTTTGCCGCAAAGAACCTCCAAAACAACACACAGTTGCTCTATTTATCTACCATGCATTTTTGTTAAGAAAAGAATTGATTAGTTAGAAAATTGATTATATATGCCATTGTCAAGATGTATCTCTTTTGTATATGGGCCTATGGCCTTTCATACAATAAAGAATTGAATTGAATTGAATTGAATTGCTCTGACGTTTGTACACGTTTGTGTATCAGCCTGTAGAAGGTTGCAGAAAAAGGTTGACAGGTGCCGAAGGGCAGAATCGTTGTTAAGGACAAGGCGTTGAATGTAGACACACGGTTTAGTGAAGAGGCAGTTTTAATCGACGTCACAAAGGTCTTTCAGTAACTATGTAGTGACTTGGTGTTTGAGACACACATATATATATATATATATTACATATATATAGAGAGAGTATAAGATAGACAAATAACAGAAGGATGTGCAGATGTTCTTTTAGATTATATACCTCTGAACACCTCTGATTTTATTAAGTCATAAATAAATACGTTGATATGCAATGTCGGACGCAAACCGTTCCCCATATTTTTATGAAGATTATACCTTGAACATCATCTACAGTGTTGTAGGTTACCGGTGGCACGCACATGCACATGCACACGCACACACGCACGCACACACACACACACACGCGCACACGAACAATTCTTGGACACCCCAGTGACCATGTCGATGTGGATGGCATGAAACTCATAATTTAACGGCGACTGGTTAAGAATGGATTAATCCATTGCGCTCCACACGACAGAGATACGATCTCAACTGTAGCACTGATGCAAGCACTGTCGTGACTGAACAACAAGTCATCTCGAGCTGCACTTTCATGGGCTTGTGTTATCAGGTGTTATAAAGACGTTTATCACAAGCCAGAAAAAAACTGGGTCTACAAGCATTGTTGACAAACAAAAAACATCGATCTAGCATTCAAACATAATTTTTTTACATGTTCCTGTGTGTAGATCCCTATGACATAACGCTTTGGGCTTTCTCCCTTCATTAAGATGGTAAATTATGGTAATGATATACGGTAAAGGAAACACAACCCTCGTACAGAGAGACGTCTCACATAGACTTAATGGTAATAACGAGACGTACGCCAGGATATAAAAGATGCGCTGACATCCGAGAAACGTCAAAACCTTCAGAAAGGTACATGTTATATGATCTCATGCTTTTTATTTGACATGATGTGCCTGCATGGCTGAATAAGACGTCTATCTTGAAACCATAACCATAGTCATATCATAATGTACCTAGGCGAAGTAGAACCCCGGGGTTGATACGTTTTGTGTGATGTCATGTAAGTAACCGAGTCAAGGTAATGAATACACTGTTTAATTGGTATTTTATTCATGTAATGACTAACATAACAGGCAATTGGTTCTGAATTGCATGTTCCCTGTTTAATGTACGACACGCATGATGGTGATATTATGTTTCCGAAATCCAGGGTTTGCCTTTGACGTTAGAGGAAAAAAGACACATTTCACCTCTAACAAATGTTTCTTCAAGGCTAAAACAATTAAGCCTGATGTAACCTCAAAGCACTAACTGTATGTTTAATATGAAGTCACAACAACTTTGCGAGCAACGGACATCATCACAGATTTTTATCCTTTTCATTCACATAATTTTCACTGCTATTATGGAATCTCTTGGACTAATTGAAACTGGATATTCTCTGTCGCCTGCTTGTTGGCAGTTCACTGATATCTCTGTCTTTTGTGTTCGTCTTGACCTGGTCATTTCCACATGTACGGGTCAACAACCGGTCGTCTAACATTGACATTATATAGCCACGAAGACTCCATCATATTGTTTCCGTCACGTTTGCAAGAAAACTCACTCAGGTTACACTACATGAGCTTAACCTCCTTATCCTTTTCAAATATAGCAATAGTTTTCAGTTTCAAACGTACATTACCTTAATGAAATGGTATTTTGGATGGTTGGAAACAGTTTTCCCAGGTGACAGTTTATGCTTGGTGACGGTTAGCATCTTCCCAGAAACGACGAGTATATTGTAATAATGAAGTGTATGGCAATAGAACTACCCCCTTGGTGCAACATATTATGAGAAAAAGTCAGGTATCATTTCCATATTTAATGATAACGTCAGTGAGTAAGTGAGTGAGTGAGTTAATATTTAACGTCACATCGGCAATATTTAGCTTTACTATAACACGTGCGTGACATGCATGAAATGGTGTTATTTTAATGTTACCAATACTTTTCTCAACTGGAATGATGCCGAAAATACTAGTACCAAACGTTAGAAAATATGTGTATTGTCAGATGGAATAACATGTCTATTTTCTATTTTGGGCGGCTATTTACTTTTGTAAACATATTATGTCAAGTAATGGAACTGATTTATTTTGTTGGTCTTTTTTGTGATTTTTTATTACCCCTATTTCTTCATTTCTGGGAAAAATCCTTTCCTTTGAATATCATCCCAGACAAAATACACTTATAAACCCAATGGTCTGGAGTTATCATGTTCTCTGACAATATTATAAGCCTTCACTCCAAATAGGGTCATATATCTTCCAGCATAAATTGTTGAGACTATTTTAACGTTGATGTTGACACAGTCTCTGTTGACACACTGTAGCCTTGATCTTGACGTGAGTGATATGGTGCGAGCCCAGAAGGGCCACATATCTCCAGCATGACCAGCTGGCATGACGAGACTATTTTAACGTTGATGCTGTCTCTGTTGACAAACTGTAGCCTTGATCTTGACGTGAGTGATAATATAAACTGTGATATGCGGTGATGTCGAGGGAATTCCAGACTAGGACACATCCTAATTTTCACCTACCGGTTACCTGTTTGTACGGCTGCGCAATACAACCGGTTTACCGGTATTTACCGGCTCAGCCATGAAAACGATACGTACTGCGATACGCTGATCGAAAACCGGAAAACTTCGTAACAATTGGAAATCTTCGAATATTTCCTTGTTTCATTCGTGCCAAATATTATTTACAATTTTATTTTGTCATGATTAAAAGTTAGTGCTTTTGTTGTGTTTTTTTGCTTATAAACCAAGCATCAACTCGATTATAAGTAGTTTTTTGTTAAAAAAACTTCTTGCAATATATTGCAATACATATCGCAATATATGCTTTCGCATCGCAATATGAACATTCTCTGTAATACCAACCACTATCTGCTTGGTGTCGCCATCGGATGGAGGGAAGGAAGCATCACAATTACATTGAAATTTATCAGTTGATTCAATTGCCTCTGGAAACACAATAACCAAACGAGAACAAATACTATTAAACAGATACTTTATAGATGTCGATTTAAAATACTGAAGATGGAAAAAGCAACACAGCCAGACAGGACATGTCAGACTATGATTCTTTCATCACATAGGATGAAAAATGAAGGATGTTCACCTTTTCAAAAATATTCATGAGTATATCCGCTATGGCCATTACGGCCGCATCTTAAAACGATCTCTTTAAATCTGGACTGATAACCCAAGTAGGTGTAACCAGTAGTGGTTTTATTGCCTGTAAGGTATTGATACCTACTTGGGTGTCCCACTTCTTTTGCATTGTACCCCAGATGTAACTTCTAGTGACATGTTTATAAACACTTTAAGGTAACAGAAGTGGCGGTAACAGATTTGTTGAGTGCTGCCTTAGCAGTACATTCAGCCAATCTGTTATCCGAAATTCCAACATGCCTGAGTAGAAGACGAGGTGGTATTGGCCAGTAGCAAGGTCATTATGTAATGCAAGTATTTTGATTAATAGTGAACGTTTACATGACATATTTTCAATAAGCCTAAGTCACGAACGTAAGTCTGAGAATATCATATACTGTTTACATTTGGACTGATTATTGAGATATTTTACAGGGAGATTCTGTTTTTGACACATCTTAGTATTCAAAAGCACTTATATGAAAGTTCATCCCGAATACTCTGAGGGAACAATAATAACCTCTTTAGACACTGACCATCCACTTTACGGCTAATGTCATTCCAAAATTGACTTACCCGTGAAGATCCAGGTTAGAACTGATCTTCAGTAACCCATGCTTGTCGTAAAAGGCGACTAACGGGATCGGGTGGTCATGCTCGCTGACTTGGTTGACACATATCATCGTATGATCACTGGATTGTTTGTTCTAGACTCGAGTATTTACAGACACCCGTCATATGGCTGGAATATTGCTGAGTGTGGCGTTAAACAACAAACCAACCAACCAAAATTGACTTCACGTTGTGTTCACTGGGATGCGAACCTTTATCGAGAGAGGGATAAAAGTTTATTAATGTGGAAGGTAACTAAAGTGTGTACTTTGGGTATGCATTTCTTGCGATATGTTAGAGTGAAAATACCGATTAACATGGTCCGTCTCACAGACCCTGAACCACGTTATTTTCTATACCGGCCGGCCTTTCTACAATGCATAAGTCGCCGATTTCTGAACGTCTATTTCGTCCCCCCGTCCAGTGAGATCACTTATATCGTGTAAGTTTAACATTAAAACTAAAATATTTATCTTATAAGGTGAGATTTTAGTTTTGGTTTAAGTTATTTGTTCCGAAGTAGGTGGTATCTTCAGAAAACTTTCAGCAAGATGTGCTCCGCTACAGAGCTGACAGTTTATCATGGACCCCTGTT